GGAAATTTACAAGTATATGCAATTCAACTATAATATTTATTTCCTTGTCCTAAGTTAAATACCATTGTACCTTACAACAAATCATCTTGGTCTTTAATCTGGAGTAAATGGATCTCTCCCTCAAAACTTTAGAAAACATGTTTGTATCACTTCTTTTGGAAAATATACGTGTGTGTGCCTTTTATTTTTAACTACTCACATTTTTTGGAAATAGGTAAGGCATATAATCATTTACTATGGAAATTAAAACATTAAAATGTTTCTCCCCCAAAATGAAACCAAATAGTAACAAATGATGATAAGGTTGCAGTGAAAGAAGAACCCTTCTATACTGTTGGTCGGAATGTGAACTGGTACAACCACTATGGAAATCAGTTTGGAGAGTCCTTAAAAACCTAAAAGTAGAAATTCCATTCCATCCACCTCATTCCAAGAGATGAAGATATCATCTTGTAACATGGCTATGCATAGCCATGTTTATAGCAGCACAATTCATACCTAAATCTTAGCAGTGGCCTAAACCAGCAGAAAAATGAATAAAGAAAATGTGACACTTATACACAGTGGAGTACTGCTCTGCCATAAAGGACAAATTTGAGTCATTTGAAGGAAAATGGGTGCACTTAGAGATAATAATGTTAGGCGAAATAAAACGGACACACAAGCTTAAGTAAGTATTGTATCAATTTTCTTAGATGAGAAACCCAGAGTATAAATAAATTAAAGAGCAAAATAAAAGATGCATCCTTGGAAATACAAAGATAGATCTTTAGCAAATAGGGAGGGGAGCCGATATAGAGAGGTGGGGGATTAGGAGCTGGAAAACGAGTTGGAAAAAATTAGGATGAGTCAGATACACGTATCAACTTCCCACAAAACTGTAATCACTATATAACAAAAATATGTACTAATATAAACCAAAATAAGACAATGTGTATTTATTCATTACACTATAATATAAACTAGACACTTAAGAATGCAACAATAGAAACAACAAAATAATACAGAAACCACTATAACCCAAAACACTGTATTAACTAAGTATTCAAATTAAAAATTATAGAATGGTTTTGAAAGAGATATCGCCAAAAGAGATATATGATTTAAAGACATGTCTTGAATTAATTATGGAAAAATGTAATCATCACCTTAGTCATTAAAGAAATGCAAATCACATACACAATGAGATAGCATTTCACTCACTAAAATGGTTATAATCTAACGAAAAATAACAAGTAGTGGTGAGAATGTGAGAAATTATATAACCTTCATACACTGCTGTTGGGATTGTAATTTTCTGCAGCTGCTTTGGAAAACATTGTAGAAATTTCTTAACAAGTTACATATAAATTTGACATACAATCCAGCAATTCTATTCCTGTAACTCTAACCAAAAGAAATGAAAGTACACGTTCACTCAAACAGTTTTACCTGCACAGTTACAGCATCGTTATTCCTAATAGCCTCAAACTAGAAATAGCTCCATGTCCACTGATTGGGGAATGGACAAACCAGATGCGGTATTCTCAGTAAACGAGATGCTGTGTAGATATAAAACGGAGCAACGTACCGTGAAGTACTACAACATGGATGAGTCTAAAAACAGTATGCTAGGCCAATGAAGCAATATACAAGAGATCACATACTGTATGATTTCGTTCACATGGAGTGTTCCAAACACGCAAATCTATAGGCAGTTTATTAACACTTAACTATGGGTGGAATAGAAATAAAGACTAAGTGCATGTAGGCATGAGGATGATAGCAGCATTCTAAAACTGAATCGTTCTAGTGCTCCCTACCTGTAAATTTATAAAATGTATTTATTTGCTCATCTTAAACTGAAGAATTCTATGGAATATAAGTTATACTTTAATAAATATTTATTAAATATAAAGACTGTAGTAAACTTTTGTATATTCTTACCGACAATTACTTGATGAATTTGCTTCGGTGTCAAAATTATGCTGCAATCATGTTTTTCTTGAGGAGTGGTTGGGTTTGGTTTCAGTTTTTTGAGAACCTGAGAAAAATCACATTTCCAAAATCCATCATTTGGTATTAACCGAAAGTCACTGAAAAATATGATAAAACAGTAGGTAAAATACTGCACATGCCTTTCTCTCCAAGGACACTCTCTCCTTGGATGCCATTCCCTTGGTGCATAACAATTGGGTAGCTTTGATTGGACACTCCATGGAAGACCACTCCTCCTGTATTTCCTCTTGAGAGAGTGAGGGCGACTTTAGACCGGATGCTGGCAGCATATTTACCTCTGGAGCATTGTCTGAATACACGATTTTCTTACTGAAATCATAATAATAAGCAGTTGAGGTCAAGTCTTTTAGAAAGTAAGTTATGAATCCAAATATTCCCCACAGTCTATGCTACTGATGCTCAATTCATACCTACTTAACAAGTTTGGGGCACTAATTTGCAGATATAGTCCTTTGATAAGGAGTCTTGGGCCAGAGATATAGCTCAATTCCATAAGCGCCTACCTGGCAAGCACAAGGTGTTGAGTTTGATTCCTGGCACCAATGAAATAAATAAATAAATAAATATTTTTTTTAAAAAAAAAGGAATCTTCCTTCTTAAACACCTACAAGAGGATGTTGCACCCTCTACTCCCACTCCATTCCCAAATTCAGAGATGGCTCACAGTGAAAGACCAGTACAGAACACAAGAGATAAGCTCCTTTGGCTCAAGGCAAGAAGGACTATGTGGTCTAATTTATGCTGAAGGTATTTTGGGAGTCAATGTGAATGTATACGTTGCACCGTATCCTTCCTCAGCTCTTTCTCCTGCCCCATTCTGCTTCCTTAATTGCATGCAACTTTCTCCTAAGCATACTCTGCACAAATCACAGGTACTGAAATCCCTGTCTCAGGATCTGCTTCTGGGAAACTTACAGAAGACATTGCCAAATGAATCAGTGGCAAAGAAAATTACTACCATTAAAGTAGTTCAATATTTCACTTCCGCTATACAATGCAAGGCCACTTAAAACTTAAGAAATGAAAAAGAAACAGTAAGCAATGACAAAACATCACATGTATACATGGAAAGAACTGAAATTTGACTTTTGGCAGCCTATAGAAAAATCAATACCAGATGGAATAAAAAGCTAGACTATTAGAAGAAAGGGGAGAATCCAATACATTGATATAAACAATGATTTTTTTAAAAAATAAGAACTGAGAAGCACTGGCAGCAAAAGCAAAAAGAAATGAATGAAATTACATCAAAGTGAGAAGCTTCTGCACACAAAAGGAAACAAGAGTAGACAACCAACAGAAGGCGGAAAATTACAAACTGTTCATCTGACAGAGGATTAATTTCTAGAAAATATAAGGAACTCATCTTAATAACAAAAACAACAAATCTAACCTTAAAAATGGGTTACTGAGATGAATGGACATTCCTTCAAGGATGAAATTCAAAGGGCCAAATTTATTTTTAAAATACTGAATATCACTAGCCATCAGGGCAATGCAAACCAAAATCACAACGAGATATCATTACACCTAAGTTATAATGGCAAGTATAGGGCCAGGGATATAGCTCAGTGGCACAAGCATAAGGTCCAGAGTATGATTCCCAGTACCAAAAATAAATAAATAAACAATGGCAATTATCAAAAGGACAAAAAATGACATGCTGTTGAGGATATGAACCAAAAGAACTGTAATACACTGTTGATAAGAATGTAAATTAGTACAGCCACCAAGAAAAACAGCATGGAATCTCTTCAAAGTATTAATAAAAGAACTATCAGGGGGCTGGGGATTTAGCTCAGTGGCACAGCGCCTGCCTTGCAAGCGCGAGGTCATGAGTTCAATTCCCAGTACCGGAAAAAAAATCAAAGAGAAAAAAAAAAAAATAGAAGAACTATCACTATCAATGATCCCACTTCTGAATATATAGCCAAAGGAAATCAAATTAGCATATCCACATACTCATGTTTATTATGGCATTATTCACGTTAAGTGTGATACAGAATCAGACTAAGCGTGCGTTAACAGATGAATGGATATATATTTATATATATATAAAATGTGGCCATGCAAAGAATGAAATGCTATCACTCACAAAGGAAATGAAACTGGAGGATATTAAATTAAATAAGTCAGACACACAGAGACAAATAACCACACATTTTCTCTCACATGTGCACGCTAGAAAACTCAACCTGAATATAGCATGTGAGTAGTAGAGGCTAGGAAAGGAGGAGGTAAGGAGGAGTACAGGACAGTGGGATAATGGATACCAAAGCACAGTTAGAAAGTAATAATAAGCAGTGGATTGACGATAGTTTAAAACAATCTATAACTTTTATAAAGAAATAGAAGAGAGGAGCTTGAAATCTCCAAACAAAAAGTAACAATGAAAAATGTGTACGTTACCCTTATTTACAGTACACATTATATATTTATACCGAAATACTGCACTATACCCAGTATATATTGTAACATTGCTTAAATTATAACATTGTATAAATTGTAACATTGTTTAAGGAGAGAGAAATGCTACCTATTCTGATTTTCTCTCTCTCTCTCTCTCTCTCTCTCTCTCTCTCCATATATATAT